TTAGCGCTGGCTGAGTGGCTCAGTTGGTTGAAGTCTCATCCCAAACACCAAAATAGTGTGGGTTCTATTCCCAATCAGGATGTGTACAGGAGGCAACGGACCGAAGTTTCTCTCTCCCTCTTCCTCTCTCTCTAAAGTCAATACAAATATATCCTCAGGTGAGGATTAAAAATAATAATTTTTTGTAAGACCAAATTGAGTTTAGCCCTGGAAAGCAGAATTTAATTCACCACTTTTAAAGGTTGACAAGAAAACCGTTTGATTTTTCTAAGTATTGGTAGGGAGAAAGAGCATTAAATAAAAACATTTAGTACACTAAAAACTGACAGGGACATCCATAAGGAGCATTTAAACAAACTAATACAAATATAATACATACTTCATAGTGAAACATTAAAGTATTGGCTTTAAAGTCAGAAAAAGATACAAATGACTTCTTTTACTTATAACCATACTTCAGAGCTTAAACAGTACAGTAAGAGTAAAACAGGAAAAGATTCCAGAGGAATACGGATTGGGGGGATCGCTATTTTTCTTCATAATAAACCCCATAGAATTCACATATAAATCACTGGCATAATGTTCAGCAAAGTTGCCAAATAGAAGTTAACGGAAAAAGTTCATTGCATTTCTATATACCGGCAGAAAATTATTAGAAAATGTAACATTTAAATGCTACTTACAATAGCAAAATATGATGAGGAAAAAATAAGTTGAGTAAGCAAGGCGGTAAACATCTCAAAGACAAGATGTGCAAGAGAGTTGTCATGATCAAAAGGTATGTTCGAAGAGGATGACTGGGTTTAATATTTCAGAGTAGAAGCCACTCGAGGTACTGACAAGGCTCAGGTGTGGGAGGAAAACACAGGCATCAGCAACGTAATAATTTCTTTATAAGAAATGATGAAAACTCCAATGGCAGAAATCAGGAGTCTATGGGACTTGTCAAAAGATTGTTTGTGCATGTTTTGATTTAGATCAACAAATATAGCAGCCATACTTTTCTTCCCATTTTTACTATAACAAATAAAACCATGGTTTATTTGAATTTATTATATGACGTTGTGGCTTGAGAGCGTGGCAGATGGAGCATGTGGGGAAGATTTAACCACCGCCGCCCACAGACGACTCCTAGACACAACCACTGAGGGAACATCACTGGAAAACAATCAGGAAACATTTACTTTCAAAATCCACAATTTTTATAACAAATAAATATGTCAGCTACAGACGAGGGTGCTCGCATTTCTGTGTGTACATTTTGGTGACACACTTTGGGTCAGACTATGTAAATTGCCATTTTGTGGTCAAATGAATGGATGTCAGCAATTTCACATGATGGAATCCAGTATTTCCTGCGTTTGCTGTATGGAAGTCACTGACCAAGTTGAAAAGGATGGTTTTAAAGATAAAGGGGATGGAGTGTTACTGAATGCTTCATGCTTTTATAGAGAAAACGAAAGCAAGTACAGCTCTCTGAGTAACAATTATATTTTGCTATTATTGCCAAGATGATTCTATTAACTGTGTTAAGAAGCTATAAAGTGAAATATTTTACTTTGCTTCTTTAGTCCACTTGGGTAGATATCTCGTGATGAATGAGGAAGGGCTCACTTGCGTATAACGTGCAGGAGTGTATTCGTGTGGGTTAGAGGCCCATCAGATGCTGTACAACATCTAACTGGCAGAGATGCTAATTCCCACGTTTTTATGTAGCCTTGCTTCTCTATTAAAATTGAAAGTGTTAATTTGCCAGTAATCACTCCACTTTCTCCTATCGTCTCGCTAAAAGGACAGGCCCTTACTGCATGGATAAAATGTAGTAATGCATTTAGTGCTAGGCCATGATTTTAGACCTCCAGCTGTTTTACTGGTTGTGTAACTAAAAATAAGATAATGTTATGCTGGGTAACCACGGCTTTTGTAGGCATTCACATTTTACAAATCACTGCACAGTATGCAAACCATTATATTTTTTAAATGCTTAAATTCCAGGCTCGAGGTCGAACACTTCCACTATTAAAGGAGAGCTCGCTAGACTGTGAAGTGGGATGAATTCTGGCCGGGGAAGCAGCGAGGCTGAGTTTATACGTCAGTAATTCCTCCCTAATCCCCATCCCTGCAGCTCAGTTGGGAACCAGCATTCCTGGCTATCAATGATGTAGAGCAGGATCTTGAAAGGTTGGTGGGTTATTTTTGTTTTTAAATTTTTATTTGATCTGTAAACCTCCTACTTATTGAAATAATGCAAACCAGAGAACAGTATATTGTGCAAGAACAGTGGAAAGAAATCGTATGCTTCTCTAAACAGGCTTATATTAAAAATCAAGGGTCAGAGGAAAGAATTTTGTTGGTTCACATCATGCGAACACATAAAAGCCCTGTGATATTTATACTTCTGTGATCTAATCAGAAGCCCAAAGTATGCTATCTTTAACCAAATATTTGTTTTGCATGAAAATGTGGCTAAATAAGTAGAGCTATCCTAAGCTGCATTTTTACAATAGCATCTGCTTTCTGAAATGCCAGTCATTCAAAATGAATGCTCCTGGACCATATTGCTCCACGCTGACACAGATACCAGCAAGGACTTGGTGAGACTATGCATAGTACCTAAAATTGCTTTCAAGGTTGCATGGGCTATTTACATTTTTTAAACATTTGAAATGGTCATTTTCCAAACTGCCACATACCCTGTAGGACCCCAGGGTTGTGTAAAGGCAACTAATGCTCATAGAAATCTGGCTGAAAGGGAGATAGGACTTTTCTAGGGACCCTGAAAGACTAAATAATTCTGGGGTCAATCAAGACAGGCCAAACATAAAGCAAAATGTCTGTAATTAGAAGTGCGTACATTTCCTAACAATGTGAAATGATTTCAGATCCAGATTTTAACTAACTCACTTTTGATAACCAAGTGAGCAGTAGGGAGGCTAATCACAGAGGTAGGGTAGAGGAAACAGACTGAATGTCTCCAACCATTCAAATGCTGACCAAGGGGCCAGAGAAGGAGGAAAGGGGTTTGGGAGTATGGATTTGAAAAACAAAATTTACAAAACAAAATTAGAAACAACTACATCTGTGAGTTTTTAAGACTAGATTTCTGTGTGAAATTGCTGGGAGGAAAAGGTTAAAATTATTTATTCTGTGAAGGAAAGTGAAGGTTCAGGAAAGATCAATCAAAAACAGTAGTCCTGGGAATGCAGAAAAATAAATGTATAAAGCCCATTTTTTTCCTAACAAGTCATGAGATACCTGTCTTCCCCCATCACTTCCTTCTGCACAGGCAGTGGTGTTTCTCTTCGGGGTACAAAGCTGTATCTTTCAGTGAGGCAGGAATGGGCAAGCTGGTATCTCCTGCTGGTTTGGGGTCAGGGTCCTTGAGCTGGAGGGAAATTTAGAATCCCATCTGGTCCAAACCTTTAATTTATTCACAGGGATCTGTGACACAGAGAACTTAAGTGACTTGCCTAGGGTCACACAGCTAATAAACCAGAATTAAGCCAAGTCTTTTTGAGCCTAAGAATGGGGTCCAAGCTGCTATATCAGACCGTCTGTACTTCCTATTCTTACAGCTTGAATAGGACAATTAACAACAAATAAAACAAAACTAATTCTTTTTTTAGGGTTGAATTTGCTCTTTTTTTTCATTTATTTATTTAATCTTCTTTTATTAATTTATTTTTGTTACAAATGTTTCTCCTTTTTCCCCCATTGACACCCTCCTCCTCATCCCGCCCCACCCCCAGCACTGTTGTCTATGCCCATGTTGTCTATGTGCATATACGTTCTGTGGTTTATCTCTTCCCTCCCCCCTCAAAACTAATTCTTTAAAATCGTATATATCTCTCTCACAATGAACACAATTCAATGTCAGAAGGAAAAATGGCATCAGCCGTGCTTTGGCACAGACAGCAAGCACGAAGTCTTAGAGTCTGTGTGAGGGACAAAGGCCGTGGCACAGGCGTGGTCAGGGGTGAGCAGGCTGCGGACAGAGCCATGGCTGAGAGCTGGCCAGCCTGGCACGGCCTCTTCCCTGGGCACTGAGCTGCTGAGTCACCTTTCACTCCAGCCGCTGCAGCTCCATCCGAAGGGTGTGCCGGCCACTCCCGGCCCTGAACTGAAGACGCAGGGAAAGTAAAAGACCGAAGGCACTTGGCTTGGGATTTGCTGGCTCTTGGGAAGCTTGATGAAATCTCCGTCTTAGGCCAAACTCAACAGTATTATACTACATATGACTAAATTCGTTTTTGCTTTTGTTTTTGTTTTGTTTTTCATGTCCTAAGGAAGCCCTAAGGCCTTCACAAGCATTTTCAAACAACACCAAGTTCTTTAAATGACCTTCTAAGCCCAGTTCGTTGGAAGTCATTTTGCTCATGCATACTGTCTTAATATTTAAGAACCTGACTTTCACTTTGTAAACATTAGCCAATATTCTGTGGCGTTGTCTGGGTGTGTTGATGCAATGTCTTCGCGTCTCTCCCAGGCCCCCGCTGGGCCCTTCGGGACAGCCGGGACCGGTCCTGGGGTCGACGTCCTGACTCGTGAGCCCGGTTCCCGCGCTGGAGGCAGGGCGCGTGTGCTCGCTACCCCGGCCCAGCTTCCCCGGCCCAGCTTCCCCGACGTTCCGCGTCTCAGCCTCCTCCGTCAGCACTGTTTGTTTATCGTCAGTCAGCACCCCCTCTTCTGCAGCCCAGCGCAGCGAGAAGCCACCTGGCCCCCGCAGCCCGGTCCTCTCCGGAGACCCCCGCGCTCCGAGCCCCCGCCAGGCCGGCTCCGGAATCACAGCCAGGACGACTTCTTATCCTCTCCACTTCCCAAAAACCTCGTTGTCCTTGAGGAGAGAACTCTTGACAAGGGGAGCCTTCAATAAACAGATAAAGCAAGTCTTTTTTTAAAATTCTCAACTCGTGAAGCGGTTTGACGGGGGAGCGGCGCGGGAGGAGGAGGAGGGAGGCGGTGGTGTCCTCTCTCCGCTCACCTTCCTCTCCGCCTGCGTCATGACTCCACTGTCCCACTCAGGATGTGATTACATTAATGCTACATCGTGTCGCTCGAAATTAAACAAGTGGGTGATCCCAGAACTGATTGGCCATACGATCGTCGCTTTATTAATGCTCCTTTCATTGCACTGGTTCATCTTCCTTCTCAACTTGCCTGTTGCCACTTGGACTATATCTCGGTTCATTATGGTGCCCAGTGGTAACATGGGAGAGTTTGATCCAACAGAAATACACAGTCGAGGGCAGCTGAAGTCACACATGAAAGAAGCCATGATCAAGCTTGGTTTCCACCTGCTCTGTTTCTTTATGTATCTTTACAGTATGATTTTAGCTTTGATACATGACTGAAGCTGGAGAAGCCATGGATGAAGTCAGCTACACTACAGTGTACAGTTGAGGAGCCAGAGATTACTTGCATCATCCTTAAAACCATAACCATAGCAGTATACTTTTTTTCCTCTTCGAACAAAAAATATATATATTTGCTGTATTTTTGCCATATAAACTATTTAAAAACAAAAAATATAAACATAAATTTTAAAAAATTCTCAACTCATTACGAAGCAGATATCACATTCAAAAGGTACTGAGAATTAGCCCCACTCCCCAATCGCTCTACAGAAAACCATTAGTAGTTGCAAATCAATTAGGCTAAATTGTCTCATCACATTCTCTGTACTACAGCCTAGGAAATGTGAAGTCGCAGGGTAGAGAGTGAAGGCACGTGCCACGGGAGAGGGTCCATGCCCCCTCGACAGGTGGAACTTTTCTACCAAAAAATGGGTGATTCAGTGGGGTTCCCAGAAGGGGTGACAAACCTGAGGGTTTTGCATCAAACTTGTTTATGTATATAACTAACACCCCCACTTTTGCTCATTTCATATACTTGTTTTTGTTTTAATTATTTTTTCTTTATTGATTTTTACAGAGAGGAAGGGAGAGGGAGAGAGAGAGAGAAACATTGATGAGAGAGAACATCGATTGGCAGCCTCCTCCCCCCCACACACACACACACTGGGATTTGGCCCACAATCTGGGCATGTGCCCTGACAGGAAATCGAACCGACAACCTCTTGGTGCATGGGTCGACTCTCAACCACTGACCCACACCAGCTGGGCTCCTTACATATACTTGTTAGCTGCTATTGTTTCTTGACCATATTTTTAGCCAGCGTCTCCCACTTCCTGTGTTAAGCACAACCAAACAAAGAACTGAATAAAGTTGTGTTCAATCCCCATGGTGGTTGTGTTTTGTGTCCACTCTCTCTGAAAATAATGCGGAGATTAGACTGTTAACAATGCTCTGTATAGCTACAGAGAAACTCTCACTGGGCTCTAGGCTTTGGCTCTGAAGGGCATTTCCACCACTTCCACGTTTTAATATAGTATTATTGCTTATACAAAAATTTATTACATTATAAATGCTTAAATATGGCTCATCATTTGCTGAAGCCACAGAAATTGATATGTTTTGTTACTTCTTCAGAGACTAGAAAATAAGATACTAGATGGCGGAAACTTCCGGTCAAGATGGCGGGTAGGTAAACGCGGTATCACGTCCTCCCACAACCACATCAAAGTTACAACTAAACTACAAAACAACCATCATTCAAAACCGCCTGAAATCAAGCTGAATGGAAGTCCTACAACTACGGAATTAAAGCAGCAGCCACATCCAGACTGGTAGGAGGGCGGAGGGGAAGGGCTGGTCCCACACCCACATGTGGCGGATAAAAATCAGGAGGACACCTCGGCTGGGAAGGTCCTCCCTGAGGACTGAGGGGTCCCGGTCCCACACCAGGTGCCCCGCTCAGGGTTCCAGTGCCAGGAAGAGAAGTGCCCATCACTTCTGGCTGGAAAAACCAGCGAGAACTGAGGCTCAGGGAGGGTGAAGCGGCTGGAGCCCCAGTCAGGTCCTTAAAGGGCCCGCGCACAGACTTATCGGACTCTCTCCCTCTAAGCTTGGAGGGGAGGCAGCTCGAGGGGCACCAGAGACATACAGGGAAGAACTGAGCTGTTTGGCACTGGAGCGAGGGCTGGAGAGGGGGCTTTCTCCGGGACAAACATGCTGTCAGAGGCCTTTGTTCCTTTGGTGATCCCTTCCCTGGGGCGGCAGACAGAAGCCATATCTGGGACTCCAGCAACCTGGGTCACACTGGTAGCCCCGCCCTGCTGACTCACTGAGGCCCCGCCCTGCCCCACCCAAATTTCAGGCCCACCCAAGCTGTTGCCACTTGCATAACCATAGGATTGGCCTGTCTTGGATCCTGCTTCAGGTTTTTCCTAGATTCTTTCAAATGAGCAGCATCTGGTCTCAGACAGCCCCATACTTCTCGTTAAGTAATACACTGAAACAAACACAGGGAGGCAGCCAAAATGAGAAGACAAAGAAACAGGTCCCAACTGAAAGAACAGAACAAAACCCCAAGAAAAGAACTAAGCGAAATGGAGATAAGCAGCCTAACAGATGCTGAGTTCAAAATACTGCTGTTTTGAACTTAGGATGCTAAATGAACTTAGTGAGAACCTCAGTGAACTTAGTGAGGGCCTCAAGAGCATAAAAAAGGACCAGTCAGAAATCATGGATGCACAGTCAGAATTGAAGGAGGCATTAACTGAAATAAAAAATAATTTACACAGATTCAATAGTAGAGTATGTTGCAAACCATCTATTTGGAATATAAGGAAGCAAAAAATGCCCAATCAGAACAGCAAAAAGAAAAAAGAATCCAAAAAAATGAGGATATTGTAAGGAGCCTCTGGGACAACTCTAATGTGCCAACATTCGCATCTTGGGGGTGCCAGAAGGAGAAGAGAGAGAACAAGAAATCGAAAACCTGTTTGAAACAATAATGGCAGAAAACTTTTCTAACTTGGTGAAGGAAACAGACATACAAGTCCAGGAAGCACAGAGAGTCCCAAACAAGATGAACCCCAAGAGGCCCACACCAAGACACGTCATCATCAAAATGCAAAAGGTTCAAGACAAAGAGAGAATCTTAATAGCAGCAAGAGAAAGGCAGCTAGTTACCTACAAGAGAGTTCCCATAAGGCTGTCAGCTGATTTCTCAAAAGAAACTTTGCAGGCCAGAAGGGAGTGGCAAGAAATATTCAGAGTGATGAGAAACAAGAACCTACGACCAAGATTACTCTATCCTGCAAAGCTGTCATTTAGAATCGATGGCCATATAAAGACTTTCCCAGACAAGAAAAAGTTAAAGGAGTTCATCACCACCAAACCGTTATTATATGAAATGATGAAGGGTCTTTTTGAAGAAAAAGATAAAATATATGAACAAACAAAATGGCAATGAATACATATCTATCGACAATGGAATATACAAACAAAATGAACAGGTAGAACAGAAACATTCTCATAGATACAGAGAACATTTTGTTGACTGCCAGATGGGAGGAGGGTTGGGGGAATGGGTGAAAAAGGTGAAGGGATTAAGAAGTACAAATTCATTGCTAGACTGACAAACCTCAAAGGGAAAGGGGTTGGGGGGTGGAAAGAAATAAACCAAAGAACTTATATGCATAACCAATGGACACAGACAATAGTGTGGGAAAAGGCGGGAGGGGGGCGGGAGGGGGGAGGAGGGGGTCAATGGGGGAAACATGTGGAACATGTGTAATACATTTTACATTCAACAATAAAGATTTTAAAAAAAAATAGATAATAGGTGGCAAGCAGAATTAATATTCCTCCTGAATCCCATTTCCCAGCTTCCTAGGAGGCAGCACAAAGAGGAAAGAATGTGGGCTTCTCTTTCTCAAAAGCCGGTGCTCCTGGGTCCCAGTCCAGTCTTTCCCAGCCTTTCACCAGTTGTGTGACTTTGGGCAAGTACTTAACTCCTTTGGCCCTCATTATTTCCACAGTGAATGAACTTACTTTATGAAAAGTCAACAGGATAAACTGTGGGAACGACTTAACATAATATATTAATAGACAGTAGCAATTATTATTGGGCCCAAAGCTGCCCAGGAGGCAGAGCTTGTACACATAGCTGGTTCAGTCACTGTTGGAATTGGCTGGCCTTCCATGAAAAGCTGGGGTCTCAACCAACCACTTTTAGGTCAAGCATTTAGAGAGATCATTTTGACCCCATTCAAAGGCACTCCTCATCATCCTCTATTAAAGGAGAAAAATAGAAAATAATACATCTAGAATATAGTCTTATTTTTATAGAATTACATATATTGTTTTTATAATGGATATTGTTGGTTTCCTTCAAAGAAAGCATCCATTCCCACCTCATCACAATTTAAATCATGAAGATTGGGTATCACACTAATGCATTTCCAGGGTGGATCCTGACTGCCATGTGCCAATCAGTTTAATTATTGGTTTAGGGATAAGTGCATAACCCAAGCTAAATTAATTATAGGGATGTTCAGGATACTGTTAAATGGTTGGAGAAAGAGGAATTTCTCTTCCTCTGGAAAGGTGTGCCTTGCCCACGGAAAGCCAGAAACTCTGCAGTCATTTCTACTCTGAGAATTCAGACTGAGAATGAAGCCAACCACCAGAGCAAGACAAAGCCACAGTCATCTCAGAGAACCAGATCTGGGGAGTTAATCAAAGCACTCCTGAAACTTTCTAGAATGTTGGGCTCTTCAACTACTTGAGTCAATAAATGCCTTTAAATCCTTTTAGAATTGGGGTGCATAATATTGTAGCCTAACATAGCTTAACTGTTCTGGTTTTATTGTTATGACTATTACACCACGACCCATTACCAAGAGTTGATATATAAATGCCATTGTATATGTGTCTGCAACTTCTGGAAAATCAGTCTTAAAGACATTATGATACTCTTATCCTTTAAACCTGAATCCCTTTTAATGTAATCTTAGAGAAGAATAACTCTCACTTTTAGACAATGTACATGCCCATTATTTCTCAAACTATGATCTATACACCAACATAATTTCCTCAACCATCTAGAAAAGCAGAGAGCCTGGCCGGTGTGGTTCAGTGGTTGAGCGTCGACCCATGCACTAAGAGGTCGCTGGTTCGATTCCCAGTCAGGGCACATGCCCAGGTTGTAAGCGTGATCCTCAGTGGGGGGCATGCAGGAGGTGGCCAATAGATGTTATCTTTCATCTATTTTTCCATTTTTCCATCTCTCTCTCCCTCTCTTTTCCTCTGTATCTCTAGTATATCAATGAAGAAAAACATTTTAGAAAAGCAGAGATACATAATGTTGGCAGGTTTGGGCATGAGAACTGCAGGGACCTTGGCAATGTGTGAAAATGGGAAGATGAGGAAGCTGAGAACATACTTATCTGGATTCCCAACAACACCTGAGCATCAAGGAGCAGCATGAGTCCTGGACATGCTTGGGAGGACAGAAGGTTGAGATGGGGAAT